GGTGGCCCTGGCTCACCTCCGAGGCTGCACACCCTCTGAAAGAGACCTGTGGCCCCCCCCACGGGCTGCCCAGGACCCCTGGGCTGGGTGCGGAGAGCTGGGGTGACCACAGCCCGCGGAAGCTGGTCCAGAGAGGCTTGGCAGAGCAGGGACAAGGTCTGGGGTTGCCCCATGGGAACTGTGCCCGTGCCACCCACCCTGGGCAGCCAGGATGTTCCCAATGGCTCCCATCACCCCATCCCCACGCAATCAGATGCTGCAGCACCCACTAGCATCACCCACGGCTCCCTGCCACCCAAGGGGGGCTCGGGTTTCTGCCCAACCCAAGGAGGGGCAATGGGGTCCCCCCAAACCTCTCAGCCAGCAGCACGCAGCACTTCATGCCAGGAGCTGTGGCCCCTCCACACGACTTTGAAGGATGACCTCAGGTGCAGAGCGTCCCGAGCAGCCTTGCCAGGGTCCCGGTGGCTGTCTGGCCTCCTCTGGCGTGCATGGGCAGCCTGGCAGCAGGCAGAGCCGGCAGCTATTCCCGGCAGCGAGGACATTGTTTAGCCCCCCTGGGCTTTGCTCTCCCTCTTTGTAAGATGAGGCTGGCGCTGCCCTGCGCTGGTACAGTTAATGCGCTGGGCACGGGCCCCCAGCACGGGACCCGGGAGAAGGACAGACAGGGGCACGTCTCTGCCACCCTCCTGGGCAGTTCCCAGGGCTGCCCTTGGGCACCTTGTCCCACAGATGCCACAGCCTCTGGCTGCAGAAAGGCACCGTGTTTACCAGGACAGGCAATGGTGGCTGCAAAGGCAGTCCTGGGACTGTCCCCCTCCGTGGACTGTCCCACCGGCCCCAGGACAGACACAGGCTGAAACCTCTGGAGGGGAGCACTGGGAAGAGGAGGCAGCGGCCCCATGCCAGCGAGCAGCCAGGATGGCAATCGGATGACGCTGGCAGTGCTGGGGAAGGGTCCAGTCAGGCAAAGAGCCAGGGCTGGTGGGCCAGGGTCAGGGTGGCACTGGGGAGCAGAGTGGGGTGCCCATCCTGACATGGCTGCAGACGTAGGACAGGCACCTCTTGTGGCTGCAGCTGACAGACCCCCCTCAGCCTGCCCCAGGGTCCAAAGGAAGGATGAAAATGCTTTATTGATAAATACAGACTATGTACAGAGGGGAGACATCTCCGCCCAGCCCAGCACCCTGGGGCCTCCTGGCCCCGGGG